CATGATCATCATCATCATCATCAGCAGCAGCATCATCATATGTAGCATCAACAGGATCATCATCATCATCAGCCGCATCAGCAGCAGCATCCGCATCAGCATCATCATCAGCAGCAGCATCAGCATGATGAACAGCATCATCATCGTCAGCATCCCCATCACCAGCATCATCAGAATAATCAACATGAGCAGCATCATCATCATCATCGTCATCAGCATCCGCATCAACATCATCATCATCATCATCATCAGCATCATCATCATCAGCGGCATCGGCATCATCAACAGCATCATCATCAGCATCAGCAGCATCATCATCATCCGCGGCATGATCATCATCATCAGCATCGTCGGCATCATCAGCATCATCATCATTAGCAGCAGCAGCAGCATCGCCACTGGCAGCATAAGCATTAGCATAATCAGCATTATCATCAACATCGTCATCGTCATCCTCATCGTTAGTATCACCGTCATTCTCATCAGCATCAGCATCGTTATCAGCATGAGCATCATCATCAGCAGCAGCATCATCATCCTCAGAATTGCATCAGCACTGTCATCAGCATCATCATCATCGTCAGCATGAGCATCAGCATCAACATCATCATCAATAATAGTATCATCAGCATCGTCACCGTCATCAGCATCATCAGAATCCTCATCAACAGCAGCAGCACCACCATCATCATCGCCATCACCATCAGTATCAGCATGAGCATGATCATCAGCAGCAGCATCAGTATCATCAGCATCCTCATCAGCATCATCATCCTCAGCATCATCCTCAGCATCATCACCAGCATCATCACCATCGTCGTCATCATCATCATCGTCAGTATCACCACCACCATCATCATCACTATCAGCATCAGCATCATCAGCAGCATCAGCATCAGCATCAGCATCACCGCCATCATCAGCATCATCATCAGCAGCATCATCGCCATCGTCACCACCACCACCATCATCATCACGTTCAACACTACCATCGACGCTCTTCGTCATCGACTGACCCGATGCACCACTGGAGGGGTCGAAGCGGGTTGGCCGTGCTCGCGGTCGCGCGAGAGGAGAACTGGTGTGCAACAGGGAGTCTGGCATGAACCATGGCATGGCTAGCCTGCATAACAACCCCCAGCAATGAGCCCCGCCCAAGAGGAGAAAAGGCACTTCGCACGGAATCCCTGCCTATATGCTGTGCACACATTGATACACACGTATCTAAACACAGACACACACACACGCTCTAGTGCGTAACTGACCTTTATGATCTGCTCTACGCTGGTACGTGTTACTCTGATATAAGCCACCCTGCCACACTCGAATCGAAACCACTCTACTCCAACATGCCATGATGTACTCTACGCCACCGTAATAGGGTGCATACAATCTATCATAATATAATCAGTCGTGCTCGACTCTACTCAACTGAAGCGTACCCTACCGTTTCTACTCATCGTGCTACTCATCAGCACTACACGCGATCACGATAATACCCTATTGCATCCTACTGCACCCTACGATGCCCGATGTCTTACTACATCGTGCACCCTACGCCACTCCCCGCTACTGTGCCACACCGTGGGTACCGTTTTCGGTGGATCTCCCATTGGGGCCGCGAACTCTGTGAGAGTGGTGCCGAAATTCGTGCGGTGGTGCCCCATGCGAGCGAAGCCACTGAGGCCTTCGGTGGAACTCCCTATGGACACCGAGCCGTGTGAGGGGTGCCGAAACGGGTTGGGCGGCCACATGCGAACGCAGCCGTTGAAAGAAGGGTGTGCCGAAGAGGGTCGGGCGGACGCATGAAAACTGCAGCCAGGAAGCATCTTGTGGGGCTCTCCACGGGGCCACAAAACGTGTGAGGGGTGCGACGACATGGGTCGGGCGGAAGCATGAAAACTGCGCACTGGAGGCTCTCGGTGGAGCTCATCTGGGGCCACGAAACGTGTGAATGGTTTGCCGAAATGGGCGGGGTGGCCACATGCGAACATGGGCACTGAAGCCTTCGGTGGAGCCCCCTTTATTGGGCCACGAAGCGTGTGATGGGGTGTGCCGAAAGGGGTCGGGCGAACGCCTGCGAACTGCGCCACGGAAGCACTCGGTGGAACTCCCTATGGAGCAACGAACCGTGTGAGGGATGTGCCGAAATGCGTCGAGCGGACGCATGCGAACATGGCTCCTGGGCCACGAAACGCGTGTGAAGGGTGCGCCGAAAAAGGTTGGGCGGACGCATGCAAGCTGCGCCAAGGAAACACTCGGTGGAGCCCCCATATGGGGGGCCACCAACCGTGTAAAATGTGTGCCGAAATGGGTCGGACGGACGCATGCGAACCGCGCCACGGAAGCAATCGGTGGAGCTCCCCGTGGGGCGACGAACCGTGCGAGGGATGGGCCGGAATGGGTGGGGCGGTGTCATGCGAACTGCGCCACGGAGGGATTCGCTGGAGCTCCCTATGGGGCCACGGAGCCCACGAAGCTTGTGCCGTAAGGTTGGGGCGGCCGCATGCGAAAACCGCCACTGGGGCCTTAGGTGGAACTCCCAATGGGGCCACGAACCG